GTTTGTTCAAGCTTGCATCATTTCCTTTCCCCGGGCTTCATGGCTGTCCGCCGGGCCCAAGATTTTTCGGCTGCCCATCTTGCCCAGGTGGTCCGCTGGACCTGAGGAGAGGGGCAATGGGCAAGTAATTTAGCCAGTGCTCTGTCCAGGACAGAGGTTCGGGGCATAGGTGACAGCATTGCCTTTTCCTGGAGTCCGAAATTTCCTGGTTGTTCTACAAATTCTAACTCTACGGTTTTTAAATTCATAAAAATGATAGCAGAATGTTGGCAAATGATTGAGCAAACCGGGTTATTCACGCTTAATGGTCGTGGTTATCCTGTGGGCAATTGACTGTGGAAGTGTGCACTGGCAATATAAGGGAAGTCCCGCTTGTCTCTTGTCGAAAAAAATGGATTTGACGGGATTTTCAAAAGGTCGGTGAAGAAACAGTGACTTGGTATTCCATTGAGCTCATGTGAAATCGATGTCATCACGGATCGCTGAGAGTCCGTCGAGAATATCGTCGTAGTTCTCATTGATAGTGTCGTACCGTAAAGGCACAACCTTCAAACAGGCCACAATCGCCAAAGTGGAGCCGGCCGAAGCTACTCTCATAACGAGTTTAACCTCGAACATCGTTGGGAACATAATAGTATCCTAATCGGGTAGTCTTTTCAACTTTATGAGCTGAATTGGGAGCGTGAAGAAGTTTTGAAAGCCGAAATGCGCTCCAGTGAATAACGATATTTCAGTATTATATTTTTAATGCCCTACTGCGTCATTTGGTGAGATTACAGCTAAGGATATTTCGCCAATCACCCGATCATTAAGACAAATAATCAGACAGATAATTTAACATTAACATTGAAGCTTTAGTGAGAGATTATAATGACATCATTAATGCACGCACCTTTACCTGCCTTTATCTGCATTGCTAAAGCAGTGAATAATCAATGAAGAGAGGAGAAGCTGATCGTTAACCAACCTCAAAGGTTTCCGTAGATCACTTTAAATATTGCCCTACAGACAGTCATTCCAAAAAGAAATTGAACATGGTTTACTTTCTGATTTAAAGCTAATATAGGTTTAGGCTTAGGCTTGAAGAATCAAATAACTCTTCTTAATGTTTCTCAAACACCGGGTGCCGAGTGT